ATGGCTTTTTCTCAGTTCTCATTCTTCTTGACCCCACTGTAACCTTTGACAGGGTGAGGGCAGTGTCAGAGGTGAGAAGAGGTTGTATCTGAGAGAGATATATGTGATGAATAAATATTGGTTGAACAAAAGAGGCCAGATGGAAGGGGAAGAATATTCAAGCAGGAACACTAAATCATCGGTGTCAAAGGCAAATGGAAATGGGGCCCACTAAATCATATATTTGTTGTTGTTGTTCAATGTCTGACTCTTCCTGACCCCAGTTTTCTTGGGAAACATACCAAATACATACCTGTATTGGTTTATCATTTCCTTCTCCAGCTCATTTTACAGATGAGAAAACTGAGGCAAACAGGGCTAAGTGACTTGTCCAAGATACCAGCCAATATCTTAAGCCTGTTAACAGAATTTTAAATGTAATCTATACATGACCAGTCTCTAACCTGCGAAGAGCTGTACAAAGCAGGCCAGAGACTAGAATGCCAGGAAACAAGTAGAGGTTCAGTGAATTATTTTCAGAGTGGGGAATGTTCTCTATGCTGGAGTAAAGGCACAGTTTATATATAAAATCACAAGTGGGGAAAGAGGAGGAAGGTGGATTACAAAACAATCATTTCTAGGGCCTGAGTGGTTTCCCATGACAAGCCCATGAGTGCAGGACAATACAGGAGTTCTGAGTCCTGTGGGAACAGTATTATTTCAAGTCTTTGGTTGTTGTCACTTGGTGGGGCATAGGACCAGAGTTCTGTAATGGGAACAAATTCTACAGTCTTTGATTTGCTTCATTTAAGGTGCACAGGCACAGGAAAGTAGTGATTGTGAGAGCATTGTCAAGGGTTTGATTGATGATTTCATGCTGCATTGTGAGTTTCTGACTCATTAAGCCAGAAGATGCAGCTCTGAGAAATTGAAATTATTAGTATATTCATTACACATACCATATCGATTAATATGAAAATCATAATTCCCTTTACAGTTCGAATTTGAACACGTCTTCCTGACTCCAGGCCCAGTGCTCTATCCATTGTGCCACTTAGCTGCCAAAAATCATACACAGAAAACCACATATTAACATTATTTGTGTTCTGCTGGATTTTAATTTATTTTGCTAAATATTTCCCAATTACATTTTAATCTGGTTGAATAGCAATCAGGAGTGTTGCTGGCCATTTGTTTTACACCTTTTGGCATAAGTAAAGTTTCAGAAGCTAGGAAGTGCAGGGTACATTTGAGAAAGGGCAAGTAGCCCAGTTTGGTTGGAGCACAGGGTGGGCTAAGGGGAATAGTAGCAAATGACACTAGAAAGGTATTAGGTTGGAATCAGATTATATAAGGGCTTGACTATCATGTTCAGAAATCTTTTCTTCCCATAATAATAATTGATGACATTTATATAGCACTTTAAGGTTTGCGAAACTTTATAAATATCTTATCTTTTTTTTCCTGACAACCCTGGGAGATAAGGAATGTTATTAGCCCCATCCAGATGAGGAAAATGAGGCACACAGAGGCCAGACTGCCCGGACTGCCCAGACTGCTAGCTATTAAGTGTCTGAGGCTGGATTTGAACACAAGTCTTCCTGACTCTAGGGTCAACCCTCTATCTACTGCACTACCTAGCTGCTATCTTTTCCTTTGGATTTGTGAAACACACATTCTTTTTGGGTGTCAGCTACTTTCTCTATCTCTTTTTTATTGTCAGTAGCTTTTTCAGTTAGTTCTGGAATCTTTTCTTCCCATTAAGAAACTGCTCTTTTTAGGCGGTTAAGAAGACGCATTCAAATTCAGTCTTTAACATTTACTAGCTGTGTGACCTTGGGCAAGTCACTTAACCACTACCTACCTCAGTTTCTTCAACTGTAAAATGGAGATAATAGCATCTACAACTATGATTAGTACAATGTTTGGCACATAGTAAGCACTTAATAATGCTTCCTTCCTTCCTTCCATTGGTTATATATATGTACCAAGGACTAGGATGATGTTGTGGAAAAGTACAGTGTTAATGTACAGTAGTTCAGGCTAAACATTTATATGGAGAAAGTAGAAAAAAAAAGGCTCACACTGAATCTTTATTTTCAAGTTCCAAAGGTTCAGTGTCCCTGTGCTAAAATACTATAGGTCCTGTCCCAAAAGGAAGGGTCACTCATAAGCAAGTAAAATTATAGTTAAAACATGGAGATTAAAGAGTAAGTTTCAAGGGAAAATTGGAATATTTTCTTAAATTTGGAATGTTTTGCTATAAAACAATCTTTCTTCAGACTGTATTTTGTAGTAAGGTAGTGACTTCAGAAATAAAGAGCAGGTCTGACCTAGTTAACCTTCCTAATCAATAAACTCTTGGGGTCCTGTTTATTCCCAAGATCAAAGTCTTTTATAACTTGCACCCTCCTTGCCTTTTCCAGTATTCTTACCTCTTACTCCTTCCCCCAGCCCAAATATATTCAACCATCCTGTGGCATTGGCCTGCTTCCTGGACCGCTCACAAAACACTCCATCTCTGGACTCTGGACATTATCTGTGGTTGTTGACCAAGCCCAGAATTCTCTCCCTCTTGCCTTTCCCAGCTTCCTTCAAGTTCCAGCTAAAATCCCATCTTATATTTGAAGCCTCTGGAGATCTCTCTTAATTTTAGGGCCTTCCCCCCTCTATTGATTACTTCCAATTTATCTTTTCTTTAACTTATTTGTTTCTAGTTGCTTGCACGCTATCTTCCCCGTTAGATTGGAAGCTCCTTGAGGGCAGGGGCTGTCTTTTGCCGATTTTCGTATCCTCAGCATTTAGCACATAGTATGCACTTATTAAATGTTCTTGGATTGACACTAGAATTTTTTCTTAAAGTCTCAATTCATGTTGCATATAGATTCATGTCCTTATGTATAGTTGCATGTTATTTTGGGGGAGGGACGAGGTTTCATGTTTACTTTTCTTCAATTTTTGTTTGTTTTTCTCTCCCCTGTGTGATTAGAGAAGACAACCGATCTCCCCGGCTTTGACAACGACAAGAGCAGGAGCTGGTCTTTTTTTGTTGTGTGTAAGTAGCTTAGACAAGTTCCCCCTTTTTCTTCCTTAGATTTTATGGAACAAGATAAAAAGGAATGCAAAAAGAAGTAGGAAGCGATGCTCCAACTTCTTTGGGGATTCCAGGGCATCTGCACCCGGCTCTGAAACGAGATACTGTGTAGGTACCTGGGAGACAGCAGCAGGGAGACAGCTTACTACAAACTAAAAAACAAAAACCCGCAAGGTTTTACACTGCCGATCTGATAGTAATCTGGCCCAGTCCTAAACTACTTGCGCTCGTAAGTTGGGGTACTCTCACCACTCCCTAGTCCAGCTCCTCTCTCTCAGCTCCAAAGGGTCCATCTCCTTCTCTCTTCTTCCCGACTTCCGCCCCCACCCCCTTCCTATCTCCCTTCTCTCCGCCCTCTAGCTAGGCTAGTTGTCAGGGCAGCGCCCGGCACCGGCGGGAGTCCAGACGCCGCGTCTCCAGCCATCCTCTTGGGACTTGTCTCCTCCTACTCTCCTCATTCTCGCCTAGCTCCCTCCCTCTCAGATCCGGCGGGATTTCATGCAAACCACTTCTGAGCTTATTATTATTATTACTAATAAATCCGATCGCCCCACCCCCTCTGCCCTTTCTTCGAGTGTCAGAAGAGCGAAGGGGGCCAGAGCAGTCAGTACCCGTCTCTGGCTCAGCAACATACTCCCTCCCACCCACCCTGCCTGCACACTCCTCCTCCCTACAGGTCTCCCTCCGTGGGCGGCGGCGGCTGGGACACTGAGCCCCAGAGGGTGACTGACTCCCTCGGGGGCGTCCCGCCATGCCCCGGGCTCGGCAGCAGCAGGGAGCTGAGAACGGGGCACGATTGTCAGGGAGCGAAGCGGCCCTGCGTGAGAGGAGGGAGACGGTCGGGAGCGGCAGCAGCAGCAGTTGAGACTGGAAGCCGGACACCCCAAGGCTGCTCTATGCACTCGGGGGCGGCGGCCGCCGCCTAGAAATGAGCGAGCAGTCTCTATCTCCAGCGGGCACTCTCAGTACGTTAGGACTTGCTTTGACATCCATTCAGTTACCCGCGGAGGCCTTCGCTCCGAGACTCTGCGCTTCTTCCTCCCCCCTCCTCTCCTCTTATCCTTTCTCTCCTTTGCTTTAACCCTTGTAGTCTCAATCCCGCTGTGCCCACCCCCGCAGTCTTTTGACCATCACTTTCTCCTCAAGATGTCCTCACTCGCCGGCGCCAGAATACCACTGTGACGTGATCGGCCGAAAGACTTGAGCCCCCCTCCTTTGTTTTCTTTTCTTTCTTTTTTTAAAATCATCCACCTTCTCTTACTACCAGTTTTCCACTTCTTCCTTCATCATCCTCCCCCATTGCCCTCGGGTCCCTTTTCTTCTAGTTTACCGAGAGTGTCTTTTCAATTGAGTTTAAGGGAGTCCCCACTTATTATTTAAGCAGGATTTTCATTTTTAAGCCTCGACCACCCTGGTTTCCTCAGTTCCGCACAGTCAACGCGCGCGCACTTACGCTCACACTTTCCAATCCTCAGATTTCCTTCCCAAACAAGCACTTCTTACATCCAGTTTTCTAACACTCTTAAGGCACACGCTTGCCCACCTCTTCTAAACATACTCCGCCCATTCTCACCTCTCAACCAGTTTCCCTAACTCCCCCAATCCACACACACCGGCACAGACACACACTTACTCCATACCGCTGTCTGGCTTTCTCACTCTCACACTCCTAGTTACCCCACCCCTCAACCGTTCCCTCCACCTTCCTCGTTCCACCCTCCCTTGGCACTTGTCACACTCTCTAGACCTCTTTCCTCTTTACCCCCCACTTTCCAATCTCTCTCTCTCTCTCTCTCTCTCTCTCTCTCTCTCTCTCTCTCTCTCTCTCTCATCCCCATCTCTTCACTCTCTCCACCCCTTCCCCTCGGAAAGAAGAAAAGAAACCCAAACTACTCACTCCACAACCCCTCCTTTCTCTCTTCTATCCCCTCCCCCCAACTCTCGCCTTCTCCCCTCCCCCCTGCTATTTATTTATTGGGGGAGGGGGGGTGTTGCCGTTGATTGAAAGAGTATTGATTTGTATGTATTTCTCCCAGCGCTGGTGGCCGCCGCCGCCCCTGCCACCGCCACTGCTGCTGTTGCTGCCGCCACCGCCGATACCGCTGCTGCCGCCGCTGCTGCCACCGCCACTTCAGTTGCTACAGTATTTCCCATAGTGTTGTTCAGCTCCACCAAACATGTCGGCTCCTGTCGGGCCCCGGGGCGGCCCTGCTCCTCCTCCTCCTCAGCCGCCTATGCAGCCCGAGATGCCCGACCTCAGCCACCTCACCGAGGAAGAGAGGAAAATTATTCTAGCAGTCATGGACAGGCAGAAGAAAGAAGAGGAAAAGGAGCAATCGGTGCTCAAGTAAGGACCACCGCTCCTTGTCCGGTTCTCTTTTTCCCCTCCCCCGGGCCCCCCTCCTTCCATCCCTCCATCCTCTTCCCTCCCCCCCCGGCGTCTAGACGGAACCTTGTCTTTGGGTCATTCCCCTCCCTCGTTATTATTTTCTCTTAGTCGCGCTGTCGGGTGCGTTTTTGAGGAGGGTTGTTTGGTGTTTTATCGCCTCGGGTGTTTTCCGTGTGTCTGTGCGCTGGTGGTGATAGTGGTGGTGGGGCTGTGTGAAACGGTGTTTAAGAGGGGGACGGTGCTGATGTTAAGGGTGCTGCTGGCGGAGGGAAGAGGGGGAGTTTTATTTTGAGCAGTTTTATTTTCCAAATGCCTTCCGGTTTTCCCTCGTATTAGATTTGCTCTGGGGAGGGGGGTGGGGTGTGTGTTCCGGCGGTGCAGGTGCTGAATTGAGGCTCCTCTGCGTCCCTTCACCGTTTCCCCTCCACCCCCCTCTTGGAGGCAATGACTGGGGCAAGGAATCCAATATGGCCGTGCACAGGTGCTCTCCTCACTGGTGCTGGTGCAAAAGAGGGCTGAGCCGGTAGTTCAGATGTGACGGGTTAGAGGCCTCCGGTTTGGCTTTCTCCTTGAATGCAGTTCTGCCCCTGAACGTTTTTGGAGGTGCAGAACTGACTGGGACGTGTGTGGAAGTGAGCAAAAGGGCGGATACGTATTCTAGGGGCCTAGGCTCAGCCTAGCTCTGGGTGGGTGTGCAACCGGCGCCATCTTCCAACCCCTCCCCCTCAGCGTATTTCAACACCCCTGCACTCAGCAGCTCTTCCTGTTTGTAACTACTAAATCTGTTTAATCCAGAAGGACCGATAGTTTCCACCACTACTACACTTTTGGGTGCTTTCTGCCATGTGAAGTTCTGTTATTCCTATGAATAATCTAGGGGACTGGATTTTCCTTAGGCTGGAAGCAGCAGCAATACCGAGAGACACATTTTGGACGCGGTTTAGCAGTTCTGTAACTTCAGCACCAGGGAACTGTCCAGACAGGGCTGTGTATCCATTGCTTTGAAACTGTTTCCGCTGTCTGTCAGTGTTGCTCAGAGATTTGTTTGGTCAGGTTCCCTTTATATGTTTTATGGCTATGTGATTCCTTAGAAGTGCAGTATGACGGAGACTGTGAAGAAGACATGTCACCTTAAAAAAGCCACACTTTGTCGGAGTATGATATCTATGTATACATTTAAGACAGCTTAATTGTCAGAATTGAGGAGATGAAAGCCCTTTGCAGTGCTATCAAATGGAACTTGCCCATATTCTAGGCTTACTTCTTACACACCACAGAAGCGCCCAAAGAAGAGTGTTTCAGTATGATGAAACTACCACACTGACCTCTAATAACTTAGAGGATTAAAAAAAAAAACTCTGTGTTTAGTAGCCTTTCTTGTTCTATAAACAAACCATTCGTTTTCTCTGTGTATACACAAGCATACATAATATGTATTAGTTTTTAATTATATTTCATATTTTTTATGAAAACTACTACTTAAAATAGTTTATTGTGTCAACAGCACATTTTCATTAGATACTCATAATACTTCCAGAAAGGCACTGTTCCTCTAAAATAACCAATTATCCATGTTATCATGACCCCTGTACTTACGTTACTTAAAAATAATTGGTGTTGGAGAGCTAATATCTGGATTTTAATGCTTGTTTGGCAATTTATTTGTTCCATTAGTAGACTGTGCTATGAAAAAATTAACTCATTTAAATAATTTATTTCACTTAATGGACAATAATGCTTTGTTTTCTAAAAACCTTTTAAGTATAGCTCAAAATAAAGATTTTGCCGAAAATTCTTGAAAATTTTTATCTGTAGAAAATTGAAATGATATTTTTCTGTAATTGTTACTTACAGTAAATCCAATAAAGTGGTGCTTGAGTGTTGGTACTGCTACTTAAGTAAGAGAGAGATTGTATTGCTGTAATTCACATATTTTGATGTAACTTGTATTTTTATTTCTATGAAACTTTTATTGTAAAATTACATATTTAATCAAAATACAGTTCAATTATGATATACACAGTAAAAATTCAGTTAAAACATATTAGAGAGAAATGTAATAATTTGTGATATACTCATTTCCAACAGCATGTAATGCCAGATTGACAAATATATTTCTACCTTTATTATTGTTAAGTATTTTTTTAATGGTTACCTATTATAAGATTCCAATAGGGTTTAGAAATATTGGAGTAATTTTTTTTTAGGAATATTGGAGTAAAATGCTACTTCCAATGCTTTAGGAATATTGGAGTAAAATCAAATTTGAAAATTGTTTTCCCTTTTACTGTAATCATACAGATATTCAGTCAAACTTATAGGCACTAGCTTGTGACACTGCTCAAAATTTATTAGCAAAACCTACAATTGTAGTAAGCCTTTTCCAGGTAGGTCTATGTGTATATAGTGCATCTATAGCTAAACTCATGCAGTAAGCAAACACAAGCAATATTTGTTCGGTAAATATTAACATTATATTTGCATAGTTTCTGATAAAGACTAGCCCAGTTTATGCTGATGTACGTTCATATAATTTATGAAAGTATACTGATAAATACCTTATTCAGTTTCTTAAAATATGTGTGTATGTTTATATGTGTGTGTGCACATACATACATACATACATGTATATATCTGTGTCTGCTGTATCATTTTGTAACTTGGACTTCCAAATTTATTGTGCACTGATAATTGACTATCCAGAGTTAGAGAATTCATAAGATCACAGATTTAGGTACATAGGATCATAGAGTTGAAGGGACCTCAAAGATCATCTAGTCCAACCCCCTCATTTTGCAGATGAGGAAGGTGAGGCTGAGGGAGGTTAAGTGACTAACTTAAGGCCACAGAGGTAGTAAGTATCTGAAATGAGATTATTATTATTATTATTATTATTATTATTATATTATTACAAAGATCTTAGCACAAAGGCTTAATTATTTAAGAAAGAGTTTGATTACTTCAAAGACTTAAAATGTCTTACTTTTGTTTTAAATTGTAGAAAAGTAAAAAGAAAGAAGAAGCATAAGCATACAAATAATACCTTTTTTGTTATTAGAACAGAGAGTTAAAAAATCAAAGCTGATAAAGTTGGCATTAGTAGGAGTAGCAAGGAGAGCCCTTAAGGTACTTGCTAGCATTGTAAAATGTTGGTATTTATGGACAAAACCCTAGCTTTTCTGCAATAAGCACTAGTTATTCAGTTATGGTTTAATAGACTCCTTGATCCTCCTTTTTTTTTTTTTTATTGCTGTAGTTCTTTTGTTGTTGGCATCTCTACCAAGTAGGTGGACAGAGACAGAAAGAGGAAGTGGAATTCAGAGAATAAGTTCTGCTACTTTTTGCCAGCTTTGGCTTAAAAAAATAATGTTCTAATAAATTGATTCCTTTGACTCAAAGGTTTTTGGATAATCTCTAAACTCTTCTAATCAGTTATACTTTTCCTCATTAGTTTGTGTAATCAAGAACTGCTTATATTATTATACTTAACACTTCCCTCAGTGCCTACCTAATTCAAGACCCACATTTTTCAGAAAGCTTTCTGTACCATAATAATGCCATTTGCCTAGGACTTTTATACTTTTCAGAAAACTTTCACATGTTTTATCTAGATCTATTATGACTTTTCACTTCTTGGAATTTCTGTAGTTGGTTTACTATGATTTTTTTAATGGATGGAATTATTCACTCTATAAATGTCTTTTTTCATGCTTACTTAAATATTATCAGAAATCATATGTGCTATAACAGTAAGGAAATACACAGAAATTATTAGAAAGTTCATTCATTCCTTTAGCAAATATTAATCTATTTATTTTTGTATGTATGTCCAGGCCTATAATTTCATTGATGTAGGGAACTCATGAGGAAGCTATTTCTGACAATTAAGATCACCAAATGTTGTACAACTTATATGTTTAGAGAGTTGCTGGGGCCACTAAGGGATTAAGGCACTTGCCCAGATCACCCAGAGCCAGTATATGTTAGGGCCTGAACTTGAGGTTTTCTGTACTTTGAGTACAACTCTCCTTTTACTCCCCTATATACTTACCATATGCATCACAATATCTCATAGAAGATACAAGATTAACTATCAAAAGTTGGGAAGCTCTCAGGTATATCCTTATTTTGTTTAAATATTCTGTTAAAATTGAGGAATTAGTTAGCTATTTCAATAAGAGAATTTTATAGTCAATTAAGTAAAAACTGTTATGACAGAGTGATAAAACCATTTAGATGTATAGGCTATTCAGTGTATGGATAAATGGCTATAAATGGTCTTTTAAGAGTTTAGCCTGATAGGAAATTTATGCCATTTAATCATGTAGGCATATAACATGAAAGAGTACTAGACTGACATAGAAATTATTTGAATTTTTTACTTTCCACATCTAAACTAAAACTATATTGGTGATTTTAAAAGAAGTTATTTTGTTATCCTGTGAAGAAAAACCTAATTAATAAATTCTACATAGTTTCTTTTCTTTAATGCAAATAGGAGTACTAATAGCATGTCTTCACAAAGATAAACATATTTTTGTAAAGGACAAGCCAATTTTTGGCAACAGTGCCTTTCTACCTGAATAGAATACCCTGGAAAAACTTTTCACAAGTGCCTCATTTATTTATTTATTTATTTATTATTCATTCATTCATTCATTCATTCATTCATTCATTTATTTATTTATTTGCTGATTTATTTATTTATTTATTTGTTTATTTATTTATACTGAGACAGTGCCTCTGGAGAGAATTTTATACTATATTGTATAATTAATAAAACTTTAACTTAGCACAATTATCTTAAAAGAAATAAAATCCTGAAATATAGCTCCTTGAGGTCAGGGACTGTTTCAGTTTTGTTTTTGTATTTCTGGCACCTACTAGAATATCTTGTGTATTACAGCTTTTAACACATACATGTGGAATTTTATCAACTTGACAATAATAACACTGCA